TGCAGTACAAGTGGGAAAGATTCTCAAAAAGGTGTCTGTCTTTACAGGTCAAGCCTCCTTGCTCCTTCACCAAAGAAGAAACAGAATATCTGACAAACCGCATTCAAAATGGTGGAACAGAAGTTGTTGAGGTAATGCCACTTAAATTTTAGTCTTAGGATGCATTTATGTATGTAGGGGACTAGATTCTCTCACCGTGTACTCATCTGCTACATCTGTACTCAATCAATCATCTCATCGGTCCAGCTTTCAGCCCAATGGTTGTTTTTGTGTGTTTATTTTTCAACAAAAACCACAATTCCATTAAGTTATTTGTTCACAATTTTGCAGGCAAAAGCTGGGGCTGGCTCCGCAACATTGTCAATGGTTAGCCATTTCAATTCGCTTAATCATATACACTGAGTTTGTTCGGGATTATACAAGCATTAGAAGTAACTACAAAAAATCTGCAGGCATATGCAGCTGTGAAGTTTGCGGATGCATGCCTTCGTGGCTTGAGAGGAGATGCCGGTGTTGTTGAATGCGCTTTTGTTGCTTCTGAGGTACCGGTGTTCTTGCCTTTCTGTGTGTGAACATTGTCTTAAAAAATAAAGTTCTGAACTTCGAATGACCAAGCAAAATGCTCAATCTTTATGGCAGGTTACCGAACTTCCTTTCTTCGCAACCAAGGTACGGCTTGGTCGAAATGGAGCTGATGAAATCTACCAACTTGGGCCTCTGAATGAGTATGAGAGGTATGTAGTGCTTTGCTATACAAACACCCTACAATTTTGTTGCTGCAAAATAGAACAGTATATGAACAGGGTTGGTTCCTTTCTTGATAAATCTTATTGGTTTATGAGCAGGGTTGGTTTAGAGAAGGCGAAAAGGGAGCTAGCAGCAAGCATCCAGAAGGGGGTATCTTTCATCAAGAAGTAAATTTCTCATGTTTCTTAAAGGAATTTATATTTTGTAGTTGCTGTTGTACTCAGAACCTACTTGGATTAACTTGTCAATTTTAATCATCTGTCCCCCTGACGAAATTTGAACTTCTGCTACATATAGGCTGTGTAAATAATATATGTAATCAAGTCTTCATTTCATTTTCATCGCGTACATAACAAAAACAAAGCTAGGGCTTCTCTCTGTCTAAGGCACCCTTAAATTACCAAAGAGGGGTGAAATGATCCACAACCAGAGAGAACAGCATAATTTAAACCCTCAGTCACTCCATTTCTTAAATCTTTACAGCATTAGACCTCATCTAACTCATCATGTTTTAAGAAAAGAAAAAAAAACCGCCTCATCTTTACACTTTCAGGCTTTCTATATGTAACCCAAACCAAAAAACTTTACAAGGTCAAGGGGTTCGCCGGAGGGTAAACGATGGGGACTGTGGACATGCTGACATTCCCCAAAAGTTCATTAGGTGCCACAGTGTCCTCCAGAACCACAGGGTTAATTGGAACCACTCTCTCCGGCACGATTTTATCACCATCAACCTTAGCCAGCACCTCAAAATGCATCCTTACAGTCTCTGGCTTTGTCCTCCACTCTGGAAAACCTTTCAAATCAAAACCATCTCCTTCTTTCAGCTTCTTCTCCACCCCAAACCCAATCTTCAAAAACGTTTGTGCAGACACATCTGCCTTCAACAACTTGAAGGAGCCTTTTTTATTGGCCTTAGGACCCAACACAGACGAAAGCAGTGCCTCAAAACCCAGCAAATTTGGGTTTGACCCGTTGATGGAAGCAAGAGGCCAAACTGTGGTGAAGTAGCTAGGGGTTAAAATGGCAGTGGTCTCTTGATTTTGCAGCTCGACAGAAATGGGTTTGGTGTTTGACGGTGAGGACAACTCCACAAGGCCTGGGGCAAGGCGCTTAAGCTTGAGCTTGTTGTTCATGGAGGAAGAAGTTGGAGAAGGTGATGCAAGGGAAGTAGGACCAACAATACGGAGAGAGAGCAATGGAGATGTTTGGGTTCGAGAAGCATGGCGCAGCCATTCAGCCAAGGTCACAAGACCAGAAGCAAACCCATTGTTGGTTCGGTTTAATGGCAATGGGAGCTGAAGAGGGTGGCGCAGACTCACAGACCTTGCACCCTTCACTGTTACCACAGCGCCTTCTGCCAACATCACCTTCTTCAACACACCAGCATCCACATCATGCTGCATAACATTGAACAAATCAGTTTCCAAAGTTCCAAATTTCAATCCTAAACCAGTCAGTCATATGTATCTAAAATTAAGACCAAATTAAAATTCTCATCAACTTAACTCAGAACAACATGCAATTTTGATATGCGCATGTAACACCGAAATAGACATTCTGTTAATTAACTCAATGGGAATCCTGAATTGAGCTTAATTGCAATTGTCAATTAACCAAATTTTGTTAATTAAATAATGTAAAAGTTTTTAAATTATTCAAATTTGAGCCCACCTTGAATTTCAATAAGATTATCACATATATATACTGAAACATCATTTTGATTAACAAATTTGGCGAGTCTAGTTTTATCTACATCTACCAAAATCTAAACTTGAGCTAAATAATCAAACACTAATTATAGGCTAATAGCACAATGGCCCCCAATACTTACAGGCAGCGAGATCCTCATGTCTTTGGCGTCCTGAATCCAGAGCTCCATGGGCCCAGCCAGCTGAAACGGAGCCAAAACCGGCGGCAACCCAGTACCCGATTTGCCTTTCTGGACCAACCCATTTTCGTCCTCGACCCGAAAAATCGGCAAATCGACGTAATCCCAGCGGTCTACGTCCTCCAAGAGCTTGAAAGGAAGCACCTTGTTGTCCACCTCCACGTCGAACTCGTACGCCACCGAATGCCCCACCTGCGCGTCCCTCAAATCGAACCCCGACACCTTCAAATCCTCCGCCGGAAACCCTAATCCTTTCACAATACTCTCCTTCAAATCCTGCAAATTAACCAATCAAATTCAATCAATCCGACCCCAAAAACAAATTTAATATTTTTTTCAAAATTCGAAATTGAAGACAGAGAGAGAAGGCTTACGGAGATGGCTCTGGGGCTAGGGTAGCGAGAGTAGAAATCGGGCGTGGAAATTAGAGAAGAAGATGGTAGGAACTGTGTTGTTAAGAGGATAAAAAACAGAGCTTGGAGAGCCATTGTTTGGAGGACTGGAAAAAAAAATTTGGTTGTGATTTTGGGGATGACGAACACGGTGGCTTTGATTGGGTGACTTTTGAAGTTTGGGAAAATTAGCGGCGAAGAATCTAGAGGGTGCTGACGTGGAGGAGACCGACCAATGGCAAGAGAGTAAGTTATGTCAAGGGTTGCGCGATTGGTTCTCGTTTGTTGGAATTAGAAACTCCCCCCGATGACGTGGATTCACAGTGCGTGGTTTCGCCGCGTGTTTCGCGGGGTTTTGTTGAGGTTGGGTAATACCGTTATGGGAACTACCTAACGACGTCGTTTCCAAATGGAATGGGATTGAGAAAAATATAAAAATAAAGATTGGCTTCGCCCGGGTTCGAACCGGAGACCTTCAGTGTGTTAGACTGACGTGATAACCAACTACACCACGAAACCTTGTTGTGACCTTTGTCAAATTTTGTGCTATTAATATATGAAAATATTTGAACAAATGAAACGAGGGAAAAAGAAGATTCGTCCTATATTTCATCCTTCCTTAATTGAGGAAATTGATTGCCTGATGACATGACCTAACAACTCGAATTGTGGTTGAATTAAGCTTTTCTTCAATGGCAATAGCGTGTGTGCATGGACAATTTGTAACTATTAATTTACGAAAAATTGAGTGTTAATTACGTGAGTTAACAACTAAAATCATTCCGTACACGACACGCAAAAAATTAATATCAATGGCTAGTTAATATTGGAATTTGTCTAACTTCATTTTTGAACGGCTAGTTAATATTGGAATTTGTCCAACTTCATTTTTTCCTGATAAGAATCTTACTCAATAATCATCAACATAGGAACTATGTCTGCAGCTATGAAAAATTAGCAAAGAAAATGTGTGTCAAGTAGGAAAATGAAGATTCTTCCTATATTTCATCCTTCCTTAATTGAGGAAATTGATTGCCTGATGACATGACCTAACAACTCGAATTGTGGTTAAATTAAGCTTTTCTTCAATGGCAATAGCGTGTGTGCATGGACAATTTGTAACTATTAATTTACAAAAAATCGAGTGTTAATTACGTGAGTTAACAACTAAAATCATTCCGTACACGACACGACACGACACGCATAAAATTTATATCAATGGCTAGTTAATATTGGAATTTGTCTAACTTCATTTTTGAACGGCTAGTTAATATTGGAATTTGTCCAACTTCATTTTTTCCTGATAAGAATCTTACTCAATAATCATCAACATAGGAACTATTTTTTTCGACAGAGATTTCCATAAAGTCGTAGCAAGAGATCACAATCTTAGTGGGGCTACGAGAACAATATGAAGTCCTTTAATTATTCACCTAACTGAGTGTGACGTGCTAAATTATGAGAGCAAAATTCCAACTCTGAAAACCCTTCAAAGTCTCACCTCCACCATCCACACAATCTCCAAAACTAGCTGAGCTAGCATAGCTGTACCTCTAACTAATATGCAGCAATAATTTGATTTAGGCTATTGGCACACTCAACTATTATCCCTGTGATTTCTATCAAATCGTGCTCTTTTTTTCAAAAATCCTTTTTTTTGGTTGTTTTTATTTAAAGAGCATCTTACAGGCCAACGGGGTAACCCAATGAAAAATGGTATTGATTTGCATACCAGTATTCTCAAGTTTGAATTCTCATGACACCTTGGTAGTGTGTGTGTGTGTGAGAAACCCCTTCCCCTTGTAACTTAGACTATCGCTACAAGGGATATTTCTGTTCTCACATAGAATAAGATATATCTATGCCAATAATATGGGAGGTAACATGAAATTACTTATTTTCCATTACTTTTAACCAAGCGGTTACACATAGAAAAGGACATTACAAGGAAAAGAGGCTCAAGAAATTAGAATTCAAGATGCCTCTAAAACACTGACCAAACAAACTACTAAAACAAATGCCTGTTTTTTATCCTCACCTACAAAAAAGACTTTTTTCCCTTGCCAACAACTTAGGATAAGCAAACTCCTTTGAAAAAAAAGCTCAAACAAGCTGTGAGATCACTTGTTTAAACAGGTGGGCAACTGAACATGGTCAACAAGTTAACCATGCAAAAAAATTTGGAGTAAAAAACCCACCTGCAAAATAATCTGACAGCAAACAAGCTTGAAGGTACTGGTTCTAAACTTGGTGGAGGATTGCAGGCCTTGTAAACAGAAATTCTTAGAAAGGTAAACTTGGACTGGTTGGATATTTGAAGACATATTGTTATTTATTTTGAAGCTTCTGGCTGCAACATAAAAGCTTAGTTGAGGCTTCTTTTTCACATGAACATGTCGAAAGCGGATCGTAGATTCTTGACAAGTTCCTTCACTGAGAGGCTGAATTCCACTTCCATCTGCCAAAGATCAAGATGGTTTCAAATGAATTTAATTGAAAAAGTCATCTCATTAAAGCATGAAGACACTGGATCAAAACAAAATTACCTGAGCAATAATGGTTACATCAAGAGCACAGCCCCCAAATGTCAAGACACTGCTATTGATGAACTTAAGTTGGAGCTTCTCAACCTCTGCTATAGTTTTCTCCACAACTCCTTTTCTTTTCTCACAGTGAATTCTTATCATGACATTGTTGTCACAGAACCTTGCTTCAATTTCAGGTAGTGTCTCATCAAAGGGGCCACTGGAGTTATTTTCTTCTGAGGATGAGTTGTCATCTTTGGCGAAGAGCTGCGTTTTCTTCACAAAGACGACGGATTCCATGTTTTTCTTTCTGGTCTGTTCCTCAAGTGTCTTTACCTTGTCCTGCAGTTGTTTGATATACTTGATAGCATCTCCAAGAACAGAAGCCTTGTCCATCTGTCATAGCAAGGGTACAATTTAGGATTAGAGAGAGATTTGGCAAGTTAAAACAATCCAAATTCCTAAATTTGCAACAGATCATTTCAGGATATAACATATGAAGTATTTGACAAGAGACTGAACAAGAAGCATCTGCATTATTCAACAACTGTTCAGGTGGTTCAGAAAATATGAAACGTTACTTTGAGAACCGATTTAAGCTATCCCAGAAACTATAGATTGCTTAGAGTACAAGCAAGACAAGCAAAATAAAACATGTTTGAAATAAAAACTGCAATGAATAACATAAACGAAACTGTGGAGGAAGCATCAGAGCAGGACAATGAAGAGAATTTGTTACCTTCTTTAGGCCAGGAACCATTGCAGATAAAGCTATGAACCGTTGGCTGAGCTTCTCTCTCCTTTTCCTTTCTGCAATAATGTGATCTTGAGTTGTAGAAAGCCTAGTGTTTGTGTTGACCCTCTTTGTTCCCTGACTGGCCTTAAACAAATAACTTTGGTTGCCAAATGAACTTTGAGATAGCAATATATCAGAAGGGAGACTGTTGTTGCTCTTTGAACACACTGCTGCCTCCTCCTTAGGCTTAAGAACCCCCATTTGGTTTGTGCTATTAGAGTTGACAAAGGAAAGGAAATTTGGAGAGGAAGCAACTTGTGGGTTCGATTCGTGGTGATCGGTTTTGCATGAACTCCAGCCATCAGTTTTGAGCTGTTTCATGGGTCTATGAATGCCACCATGAGAACTATCCATAGAAGTTTTAAGATTGAAATTTGGGTGAAAGTGAGACTGGTTAAAGTTCTCTCCAAATGCAGCTGCTGGTGGCAGCATGCTGACTTCATCCAGAGAGTTCATGTGCCACTGGTTGATGAAGTAGGGATCTTCCATTCCCTGCAAGTTCAAAAAAAATCTCCTTAAGACATTTCATCAAACAGACAAAACCAAGTCAAGTATTGCAAGTAAGCCTCAATCTCTTACATAACAAATAAAACTGTTTTTAAAAAGTCCAAAACAGAGAACAATTTCCCAGAAGCATGTTGTTTATCTTTATCCAAAGTGAGAGACACAAAGTGGTACAGAATTTCCTTACCAGTTCAGGCATCCCTCCTATCGACGACATCGCCATCAAGTCTGCTTCTTTTGTTTGATGTTCTGGAGCTCAAGGAAGGGTCCTGGAAAACAAAATCACTTGTAACAAGTTACTTGGGCCGTGCAGAACAATTTACACAACACACCCCTTTACTCAACAACGAGGAAGGCTTCTTCTTCTTCTTGTTCCCTAGAGCTTACAAGACCTTGACCTGGTTCAACTTTTATAGCTAGCTCTTGGCTCTTGCTCAGTTTGCTTGTGTAGTTCACCTGTCTGTAGCTCACCTTTGAACAATTGCTCTCTGATGTGAAACTGGGACCAGACAACTTGATTAATTGTTCCCATTATTCTATCTAGGTACTGATTGACCATGATATTGTTCCTCAATTGTTTGAATTAACGTTAGCTGTAGCTATTAGCTAGCAAGGAAATTTTAAAATTATTACCGAAGTGGAGGTTGTTTTAAGCTGATAAAATATACAGACTAGAAATTCAGTTTTGTTGCTTTGTGGACTTTTAGCGGGATCTTCACCAACTAGGCATTGAAATTTTCTTTCCAAGGTTGCTGATGAAGCAACAAAAATATTAGACATGTGGCCCCTCCACACAAGGTCCTAATCACCAAAGCCAACCCTGCATTATTATTGTTCTTTCTTATGATAAATTTTTCAGTATGATTGTATAATACATAATATATGTATTCGTAACATCACGTGACAGTGTTACGATCACATCCAAACTGTATAATTTTTTTCTATCTTTTTAACATTTTAAGTTAGAGGCCAATAATAAAATGATAATTAGTAATACCATATGACAACGTTACGATCACATCATAACGGTACTGTTTCCTATTATTCAACATTCAAAATCAAAGCCAATGATATAATGATGTGCTGGATAATTATGCAATCCCGTTAAGTCAGTGATTAAATCACAGGGTGATTTCAGACGTGTCATTAGAGAATGATTGGTGTGGAAAGTAATTTTAAAAAGGTTTAATGATGTTGATTGTGTTAGGAACCTTCCTTTGACTTTTTTGGTTCTGACCCAATAGGATATTGACGCGTGCTACAGAACGCTACACCCGGCTACTTTTTGGGTTTATTGTTGGGCCGACAAATTCCGTCAAACCGGCCCATTAAGAGGTCGGCTCATGAGTGATCTGACCAAACTGGTTCATCATCCCTTTCCAATTTCTATTATTTAGATTTTTCTTCTGAAATTGAACCCTCTTGCTTTCACATTCAAGGTCATCGAATTGCTTTCTCTAGTTTTTTCTTATAGGACTTTCTTTGCCTCAAAAGTTTATAATGCCCTTTAAATGGTGGGATATTGGGGAAAAAGAAAAACTCAGAATTCAAATCCGAAATTGAATTTGATTGAGGATTAATTAATTACGATGAAGGATTTTGGCAGATCATGTTGGTCCAAAATGTAAAATTGGATTGAAAATCAAGTTGAATTCTCAACACAAGCAGTACAACTTTTTATATGTTTACATGCACATAGCATGTTTAGGGCAGGCGGATCGGGTTCATTTCCGAACCAATTAGGACGGCTAGGTTTAAAATCTCTAATTCAAGTTCATTCATTGTACACTTTAGAGTATCATACTACATCGAAAATCTAAAATCTTACACCACGATATATAAGATATTTGATTTCTCTACTCATTACCAATTGATTCGACGTGTTTGATATTCTGAATCTATTACCCAACCTGTTTGGCCAAATCATCGTGATCTCAAACTAACTATTTTATGTTATAATTTGTTGGCTAAGGTGAGCCCTAAGTTTAGATCTTAGAAAATGAGTGCATGTCAATACATAGGGTAACAAAAGGTCTCTTATATTGGTATAAAGAAATAATAATAAGAGTGTAGATGTCAATGCATGGTGTTTGCAAATAATTTCCTATACGTATATCTTGGATAATAAAGATACAAAATTATACAAACTGTGTTGTGTGTGAGCATTGGGGACCTCTGATGCTGGAAACCAATTCAAGGAACACAAATGGAATGATAGCGCGTTGAAATCTGGTGAATCTATGACTATGATCTGTACTTTATATTTCAAAAAGATGCACACACACACACACACCTTGATGTCAAGCACTCAAATTTTTCTAGAAGATTATCTGAGATTCCTCTCCTAAATGTTGCTTGTGATTGCGACTATATAGCTTAGCTAATAAACCAAGATACAAAAGACAACGGGAAAATGCAAGTCCGTCCTCTTGTACGCAAGTTTGAGTCACTTTCTTATAACTTTCTTATAATTTATATCTTGTATAAGAAAAAACGATAAAATGAAAATGAAAAACAAAACACATGCAAGATGATGACTTTATATTAATTTATATGTAACAATATAACGTAACCGGCAAAGGGGTGCGTCTTGGCTGTTACCAAATAAATTAAAAGCCTCATTGGCCGAGGGAGGACAAAGATTTCAATGGAGTTATTATGTAGAGGGAAGTTTCCTAATTTGTTGTGGAAGTTTCCTGCAAATTTGGTTCTATATGACTACTGTTGTCCTCGTGGGCATCTCTTTATCTGTTGCTTAACTAATACACTGATTTGCCCTCAATTTTCTTTGGGATTTCTTGATTTATTTGTATTTTTTTTAATGACTAACTTCTAAGTTACACAATGCAAACGAAAACCAAAGTCTATAATAGAAGAAAATTACGAAAACCCTCAAGTTTAATGGGATTTGTTAAAAAGAAAAAAGGGTTAAATACTTTTTTGATTACTGGGTTTATATGAAAAATTCAATTTGGTCACTGAGAAAAATATTTAGCTAAATTGGTCAGCGTGTTTCTCAAAGTTTACAATTCACACACATTCTATCACCTTGATTATGTCTCCTTACCATCATAAGTCACAATACGGTGCTCACTCAATCGATTTATGCTTCAATATAGCATCTAATTTGTAACCTTGTACCTCATAATTTCGATTTCAACCCAAGAATTTCCTAAAAAAATGAAATAAAAACTACACTTCACGGAATTAACAGAATGTCTATAAATTGTAAATTTTGGAAAATAAAATGACCAATTTGGCTACTTTTTTTTCTCAGTAACCAAATTGAATTTTTATGTAAAACCCAGTAACCAAAAAAGTATTTAATCCAAAAAAAATTATGCACTTTGTAGCTAGCTTGATTACACTAGAGTGTAAGTGGGTTTAGTATTATTAACTCGACTAAACTTTTTTTTTTGGGTTCAAAACTCGACAAAACTTAGGCATCACTTTGTGGTCGTCCTTTTCTTCTTCATTATTGCAGGTTCTATCTCCTCAAACTGAAATTAAGCATGACTAAGTCTAAGAGCACCAAAATTTCGTCGTCAACAAAAGTCTCCCTCTTCTCTCTTTTCTTCCTAACCACACAATAGAATAGCAAACGATTCATAACTATTGGTCACTCACTACTGTATAAGTTAACATGACATCACTCACTCTTTTATGCTCAACGTAATAATGTGGTTCCTGAGTGAATTAGTGTAATTTTTAGGTCAACCAAAGTATTTTCGATAAAATTATTGTAAAACTCATGATGATAACTAAATGGTTACCTATTCCCATGTTCTGATCTCACAATTTTTTTTTCCCATTTATTAGGTAAAGTCTCCCAACAATATTTGAAAAAGAATTGGTTATCCATAATGATTAAGATTCACTTCTAGTTCCGCTTTTTATTTTAATAGAAAGACTTGTAGAAAATCTGGTTGGTCCAACCAAGAAAGGCATGGGAGTCTTTGGGCATCTCACATGAATTTTCGATCTCGTACCTACAACACTGAACACCCATCCAATCGTCGATTACCAATTTAGTTGATCTTTCAAATAGATAATTTCGAAAGTAGAATAAAAAAATGAATTTTTTGAATTTTTTTTTATACAAGCAATATTAGAAAACTCTTTAGATTATAAAACCACATAAGTAGTCCAAGAGTAATAATTTGTATCATGTTAATATTAGTGTGCCTAAGAATTTGAACTTTTTGGGGTTTTAAAAAAAATATATAAATTTTGAACTTTTTGGCTTTATAGGAAACATAAACTTCTGTTTTTCAGTTGGTAGAAAACCCATATATTTTTCGCTTCACTTCCACTGCGCCACTTCCTTCCTGGCCTTCCTGAACCAAAATCCCACTCAAATATCTCTCCTCCTCCAGAAACAACAAAACAATGGCTTTGCCAGCGCTGCCCAAAGTAGAGCTTCGAGAACTGGGCAACACAGGCCTCAAGCTCAGCTGCGTCGGCTTCGGCGCCTCGCCTCTGGGCAACGTCTTCGGTCCCGTCTCTGATGACGAAGCCATCGGCTCCGTTCGCGAAGCCTTTCGACGTGGCATCAACTTCTTCGACACCTCTCCGTATGTAATTTCTTTTTTATTCGCGCAAGTTCTCAATTTTTGTGCGCAATGCTTGTTCTGTTTGGTTGCTGAGAAATTCTGAATAATTAAAAGAAAATTTCATGAAATTGAACTTATTTTAACCTGATTCGATATAAGAGCAAACTAAAACTTATAATGCAGCCAGAAAGTCTGAAACTTTGTAGAGAATTTTCGAGAATTTCTCTTTGCATGTGATTTTGATCTGTGTGGCTCTGTTTGGTTGTAGAGAAAAATGCGGCAATATAAGATAATGAAGAGTTGGGATTTTTAACTTATGAGATTGCAGATCAAAAAGAATTTTGATACTTTAGAGTTACCAATTATTTGTGACCCAGAAATCCCATTTGGTTGTATTTGTTCTGACCTTGTAAATGAAATTCCTTCACTAATCTATGACACAAATCACAGAACTTTTTATATTGAAGTCACCTTCTTTCCATATTCATATTGTTTCTGCTGTTTTTTTGGGTGTAATAGTTAAGTGTTCGGTTTCCCTTTCTGCTTCCCAATTGTTAGGTACTATGGTGGGACTTTGTCAGAGAAGGTGCTTGGTAAAACACTAAAAGCTCTAGGCGTCCCAAGGAGTGAGTACATTGTGGCAACCAAGTGTGGGCGCTATGCTGACGGTTTTGATTTCAGTGCGGATAGAGTGACTAAGAGCATTGATGAGAGCTTGGAAAGGTTGCAGCTGGATTACGTTGATATACTGCAATGCCATGACATTGAATTTGGGTCTCTAGATCAGGTTCTTTGGCATTTCTTGTTTCAGGGGTAATGGTCAAGTTTTGTTGTTATAGCCTAATGACCAAGTTGTGTTCTCCTGTTTGGTTTTGTTAACAGATTATCAATGAAACAATCCCTGCCCTAAAG